ACAGGGAGCGACGCACCTTGAGGGAAGCACAGGGAGCGACGCACCTTGAGGGAAGCACAGGGAGCGACGCACCTTGAGGGAAGCACAGGGAGCGACGCACCTTGAGGGAAGCACAGGGAGCGACGCACCTTGAGGGAAGCACAGGGAGCGACGCACCTTGAGGGAAGCACAGGGAGCGACGCACCTTGAGGGAAGCACAGGGAGCGACGCACCTTGAGGGAAGCACAGGGAGCGACGCACCTTGAGGGAAGCACAGGGAGCGACGCACCTTGAGGGAAGCACAGGGAGCGACGCACCTTGAGGGAAGCACAGGGAGCGACGCACCTTGAGGGAAGCACAGGGAGCGACGCACCTTGAGGGAAGCACAGGGAGCGACGCACCTTGAGGGAAGCACAGGGAGCGACGCACCTTGAGGGAAGCACAGGGAGCGACGCACCTTGAGGGAAGCACAGGGAGCGACGCACCTTGAGGGAAGCACAGGGAGCGACGCACCTTGAGGGAAGCACAGGGAGCGACGCACCTTGAGGGAAGCACAGGGAGCGACGCACCTTGAGGGAAGCACAGGGAGCGACGCACCTTGAGGGAAGCACAGGGAGCGACGCACCTTGAGGGAAGCACAGGGAGCGACGCACCTTGAGGGAAGCACAGGGAGCGACGCACCTTGAGGGAAGCACAGGGAGCGACGCACCTTGAGGGAAGCACAGGGAGCGACGCACCTTGAGGGAAGCACAGGGAGCGACGCACCTTGAGGGAAGCACAGGGAGCGACGCACCTTGAGGGAAGCACAGGGAGCGACGCACCTTGAGGGAAGCACAGGGAGCGACGCACCTTGAGGGAAGCACAGGGAGCGACGCACCTTGAGGGAAGCACAGGGAGCGACGCACCTTGAGGGAAGCACAGGGAGCGACGCACCTTGAGGGAAGCACAGGGAGCGACGCACCTTGAGGGAAGCACAGGGAGCGACGCACCTTGAGGGAAGCACAGGGAGCGACGCACCTTGAGGGAAGCACAGGGAGCGACGCACCTTGAGGGAAGCACAGGGAGCGACGCACCTTGAGGGAAGCACAGGGAGCGACGCACCTTGAGGGAAGCACAGGGAGCGACGCACCTTGAGGGAAGCACAGGGAGCGACGCACCTTGAGGGAAGCACAGGGAGCGACGCACCTTGAGGGAAGCACAGGGAGCGACGCACCTTGAGGGAAGCACAGGGAGCGACGCACCTTGAGGGAAGCACAGGGAGCGACGCACCTTGAGGGAAGCACAGGGAGCGACGCACCTTGAGGGAAGCACAGGGAGCGACGCACCTTGAGGGAAGCACAGGGAGCGACGCACCTTGAGGGAAGCACAGGGAGCGACGCACCTTGAGGGAAGCACAGGGAGCGACGCACCTTGAGGGAAGCACAGGGAGCGACGCACCTTGAGGGAAGCACAGGGAGCGACGCACCTTGAGGGAAGCACAGGGAGCGACGCACCTTGAGGGAAGCACAGGGAGCGACGCACCTTGAGGGAAGCACAGGGAGCGACGCACCTTGAGGGAAGCACAGGGAGCGACGCACCTTGAGGGAAGCACAGGGAGCGACGCACCTTGAGGGAAGCACAGGGAGCGACGCACCTTGAGGGAAGCACAGGGAGCGACGCACCTTGAGGGAAGCACAGGGAGCGACGCACCTTGAGGGAAGCACAGGGAGCGACGCACCTTGAGGGAAGCACAGGGAGCGACGCACCTTGAGGGAAGCACAGGGAGCGACGCACCTTGAGGGAAGCACAGGGAGCGACGCACCTTGAGGGAAGCACAGGGAGCGACGCACCTTGAGGGAAGCACAGGGAGCGACGCACCTTGAGGGAAGCACAGGGAGCGACGCACCTTGAGGGAAGCACAGGGAGCGACGCACCTTGAGGGAAGCACAGGGAGCGACGCACCTTGAGGGAAGCACAGGGAGCGACGCACCTTGAGGGAAGCACAGGGAGCGACGCACCTTGAGGGAAGCACAGGGAGCGACGCACCTTGAGGGAAGCACAGGGAGCGACGCACCTTGAGGGAAGCACAGGGAGCGACGCACCTTGAGGGAAGCACAGGGAGCGACGCACCTTGAGGGAAGCACAGGGAGCGACGCACCTTGAGGGAAGCACAGGGAGCGACGCACCTTGAGGGAAGCACAGGGAGCGACGCACCTTGAGGGAAGCACAGGGAGCGACGCACCTTGAGGGAAGCACAGGGAGCGACGCACCTTGAGGGAAGCACAGGGAGCGACGCACCTTGAGGGAAGCACAGGGAGCGACGCACCTTGAGGGAAGCACAGGGAGCGACGCACCTTGAGGGAAGCACAGGGAGCGACGCACCTTGAGGGAAGCACAGGGAGCGACGCACCTTGAGGGAAGCACAGGGAGCGACGCACCTTGAGGGAAGCACAGGGAGCGACGCACCTTGAGGGAAGCACAGGGAGCGACGCACCTTGAGGGAAGCACAGGGAGCGACGCACCTTGAGGGAAGCACAGGGAGCGACGCACCTTGAGGGAAGCACAGGGAGCGACGCACCTTGAGGGAAGCACAGGGAGCGACGCACCTTGAGGGAAGCACAGGGAGCGACGCACCTTGAGGGAAGCACAGGGAGCGACGCACCTTGAGGGAAGCACAGGGAGCGACGCACCTTGAGGGAAGCACAGGGAGCGACGCACCTTGAGGGAAGCACAGGGAGCGACGCACCTTGAGGGAAGCACAGGGAGCGACGCACCTTGAGGGAAGCACAGGGAGCGACGCACCTTGAGGGAAGCACAGGGAGCGACGCACCTTGAGGGAAGCACAGGGAGCGACGCACCTTGAGGGAAGCACAGGGAGCGACGCACCTTGAGGGAAGCACAGGGAGCGACGCACCTTGAGGGAAGCACAGGGAGCGACGCACCTTGAGGGAAGCACAGGGAGCGACGCACCTTGAGGGAAGCACAGGGAGCGACGCACCTTGAGGGAAGCACAGGGAGCGACGCACCTTGAGGGAAGCACAGGGAGCGACGCACCTTGAGGGAAGCACAGGGAGCGACGCACCTTGAGGGAAGCACAGGGAGCGACGCACCTTGAGGGAAGCACAGGGAGCGACGCACCTTGAGGGAAGCACAGGGAGCGACGCACCTTGAGGGAAGCACAGGGAGCGACGCACCTTGAGGGAAGCACAGGGAGCGACGCACCTTGAGGGAAGCACAGGGAGCGACGCACCTTGAGGGAAGCACAGGGAGCGACGCACCTTGAGGGAAGCACAGGGAGCGACGCACCTTGAGGGAAGCACAGGGAGCGACGCACCTTGAGGGAAGCACAGGGAGCGACGCACCTTGAGGGAAGCACAGGGAGCGACGCACCTTGAGGGAAGCACAGGGAGCGACGCACCTTGAGGGAAGCACAGGGAGCGACGCACCTTGAGGGAAGCACAGGGAGCGACGCACCTTGAGGGAAGCACAGGGAGCGACGCACCTTGAGGGAAGCACAGGGAGCGACGCACCTTGAGGGAAGCACAGGGAGCGACGCACCTTGAGGGAAGCACAGGGAGCGACGCACCTTGAGGGAAGCACAGGGAGCGACGCACCTTGAGGGAAGCACAGGGAGCGACGCACCTTGAGGGAAGCACAGGGAGCGACGCACCTTGAGGGAAGCACAGGGAGCGACGCACCTTGAGGGAAGCACAGGGAGCGACGCACCTTGAGGGAAGCACAGGGAGCGACGCACCTTGAGGGAAGCACAGGGAGCGACGCACCTTGAGGGAAGCACAGGGAGCGACGCACCTTGAGGGAAGCACAGGGAGCGACGCACCTTGAGGGAAGCACAGGGAGCGACGCACCTTGAGGGAAGCACAGGGAGCGACGCACCTTGAGGGAAGCACAGGGAGCGACGCACCTTGAGGGAAGCACAGGGAGCGACGCACCTTGAGGGAAGCACAGGGAGCGACGCACCTTGAGGGAAGCACAGGGAGCGACGCACCTTGAGGGAAGCACAGGGAGCGACGCACCTTGAGGGAAGCACAGGGAGCGACGCACCTTGAGGGAAGCACAGGGAGCGACGCACCTTGAGGGAAGCACAGGGAGCGACGCACCTTGAGGGAAGCACAGGGAGCGACGCACCTTGAGGGAAGCACAGGGAGCGACGCACCTTGAGGGAAGCACAGGGAGCGACGCACCTTGAGGGAAGCACAGGGAGCGACGCACCTTGAGGGAAGCACAGGGAGCGACGCACCTTGAGGGAAGCACAGGGAGCGACGCACCTTGAGGGAAGCACAGGGAGCGACGCACCTTGAGGGAAGCACAGGGAGCGACGCACCTTGAGGGAAGCACAGGGAGCGACGCACCTTGAGGGAAGCACAGGGAGCGACGCACCTTGAGGGAAGCACAGGGAGCGACGCACCTTGAGGGAAGCACAGGGAGCGACGCACCTTGAGGGAAGCACAGGGAGCGACGCACCTTGAGGGAAGCACAGGGAGCGACGCACCTTGAGGGAAGCACAGGGAGCGACGCACCTTGAGGGAAGCACAGGGAGCGACGCACCTTGAGGGAAGCACAGGGAGCGACGCACCTTGAGGGAAGCACAGGGAGCGACGCACCTTGAGGGAAGCACAGGGAGCGACGCACCTTGAGGGAAGCACAGGGAGCGACGCACCTTGAGGGAAGCACAGGGAGCGACGCACCTTGAGGGAAGCACAGGGAGCGACGCACCTTGAGGGAAGCACAGGGAGCGACGCACCTTGAGGGAAGCCCAGGGAGCGACGCACCTTGAGGGAAGCACAGGGAGCGACGCACCTTGAGGGAAGCACAGGGAGCGACGCACCTTGAGGGAAGCACAGGGAGCGACGCACCTTGAGGGAAGCACAGGGAGCGACGCACCTTGAGGGAAGCACAGGGAGCGACGCACCTTGAGGGAAGCACAGGGAGCGACGCACCTTGAGGGAAGCACAGGGAGCGACGCACCTTGAGGGAAGCACAGGGAGCGACGCACCTTGAGGGAAGCACAGGGAGCGACGCACCTTGAGGGAAGCCCCACATGCCTTCACACGGCGGGATGCCCCTTCGGCACAGCAGCACCTGTGAGGGGATAGGGGGAGCGGACGGGGGAGAATGACAGGGGTGAGGTCAGACCGCAGAGAAAAAATAAATTCTAACCTTTCTCTGCCTCTCGCTTATCCCCACGCCCCTCTTTGCTGGCTACCCCAGCTACAACCGTCCCATTTCGGCCACGTCTGACACACGCATGGTGCCCCACCTTGCCCTCCCAGAGGCACAGCGCCCCACCTTGCCCTCCCAGAGGCACAGTGCCCCACCTTGCCCTCCCAGAGGCACAGCGCGCCGACGACCACTTTGGGGTTGGCGTAGTGCACGCGCCCACACCGCTCGCTGCTGCACACGTCCCTCGGCTTGTCGTCCCCTGCCCGTGGGACCCGGGGGGTGAGGGACGCACGGGGGACAGAAGAAGGGGGCGGGATGGAGGTGGTGAGGCATGTTGGTTGCACAGGGGGACGGGGGATGAGAGGGAGGATGGGGGGAAGCCGTATGCAAGGAGTGGGCGGCGGTGGTGAGTGGTGCAATGGGGACACTCTTTGGCTTGTGATGCCTCAGCGAAAGCAGAGGATGGCTACAGAGATGTGGGCTGCTACAGAGATGTGGGCTGCTACAGAGATGTGGGCTGCTGGATTCTCACCGATGGGTGGGACAGTGGAAACCAGGTGGGGATGGAAATGGGGGTGGGGATGGATGGGGATGGGGATGGGGATGGGGATGGGGATGGGGATGGGGATGGGGATGGGGATGGGGATGGGGATGGGGATGGGGATGGGGATGAAGATGGGAGTGGGGATGGGGATGGAAATGGGGATGAGGGTGGGTATAGTGATGGAAATGGGGATGGAAATGGGGATGGAAATGGGGATGGTGATAGGGATGGTGATGGGGATGAGGGGATGGTGATGATGTGACAGGGAGGGTGTCATGGCAAATGCCATGATGCAAGGCACTCACCAGGTGGCACAATGTGATTGGTGGGAGAGCCGCACTGCGAGCAGAACAGAACGCGGTGGCTGCTGCCCGCCCACGTGCCCTCCTTCCCCTTCTCCTCCCCCTCCTCCTTCCCTTTCTCATTCTCCATCGCCCCCGATGCCCCCAATGCAAGGCCTTGCCCCGCCACCTGTGAACTCCTCCCCACATCCTCCTCTCTCCCCTCGTCACTCACCTCTCTTCCCCCTTGCTCCGCCCCAGCCCCGCCACCCACAGCGCGCACCCTCCTGCCCGCCCTTGGCGTGCGGCACCGCTGCTCACTGCCGTGCGCCCCTGGCAGCCACAGCGCTGGCCTCGCAGCACCACACACGCCACGCCACGCACCACTGCTGCTGCGCCTGCTGCTGCCTGCCTGCCGTCGCCTGCCCCCACTGCTGCCACTCCCATTGCCCCAGCTGCTGCTGCTGCCCTCCCTGCCGCTTCTCCAAACGTCATTGCTGCTCGCCATTCTCCCCAATCGCCCACACACCTGCTCCCCTGCGCCCTGCCCTGCTCCCTCCCTCCATCCGCCTCCCCCCGTCCGCCCCCTCTGCCACGCCCTCACACGTAGCTGCGCGGCGACGGGTGTAGGGGCAACGACGCTGGGGGCGGTGGACAGGACAAGCGAAGGGGGGGGAAGAGGAAGGGCGCAGCGCAGGGGTGAGGGGCGCGGGGGTTAGGGGGGGTGAAGGGGCGCATGCGGCAATGCGTTGCATGCAAGCATGGCCACGTGTGTCAGCATGGTGCAATGCGGTGTGAGGGAATGCGGTGCGGTGCGGCGACTGTCACCTCTGTGCGAGCAGCTGGCGGTGTGTGGTGAGGCAGAGACGCTGCAGCCGCGCCGACCCCGCCATGCCGCCCCTCCTCTCGTTCCTCCTCTCGCTCCCTGACTCCGCTGCCGCTCGCACTGCGCCCTCTCCCCCGCTGCCAATGGCTGTAGATGGAAAGGGGAGCGGGTGAGGGAGAGGGAGAGGGAGAGGGAGAGGAGGAGGGGAATGAGATGGGAAGAAATGCTGGCGAGATACGACAGGCGGGGCGAAATTCGGTGCGAAGGCGCGCGAAGGGCCGCGGCGAGGCGCATGGAGGGGCGCATGCATGGAGGGGCGCATGGAAAGGGTTACGACCGACGGGGGTGCGGTGGATGAGCGCGACTGGCGTGGCGCGGCGCACCAGGTTTCTTTTGGCACGCCCCGCGCGTGTCTATGTCGGACGCGTGGCGCGCGGGTAATGTGTGGAGTCGCGCGACAGCATGGGGGTTGCGGCGAACGGGGGACTCGGGGAGGGAGTGGCGAGCATACGTTTCGAAGGGCAGGAAGGCAGACGACGTGTCGCGATGACGTCCGCGCGTAAACGAGGCGCGGGGCGGCGGGGGTCGGAATGCCCGTATCGGGAATTGTACCGCGCCGCGATTTTCGAGAGAATGCGCGTCACAAACTTCGTCACACACTTACGAGAATGCTTGAGGGAATGACCGGCGCCACCGACCTCAGGTTTCGAATTCCTGCGGAAGCTCCCCTCATTCGTTACGAAATGCCGCAATATTACACAGCCCAAATGTAATGAAGATTACTTTTCCTTTTCGGTGTTATGAATGAACTTACAGAGTGCGCAGAATAACGAATAACGAGACTGAAATTACAAGTTGACGATACAATGAAAGCGGCAAGAATCAATAGGGGAAATCCTATCTAGGCGGGGAGGTCGGGCGAGGCTGGCTCGAAAGGGTTGCGACTGGTGCGGAGGCTACTCGGGGGTGGTTTGGCCGACGAAATAGGTCGAACTGGGTTGTCGCGTGGCCCTCGTGGTTGAACTCGCTAACGAGTGCTACAGTTAGGATTTGTGAATCCTTACACTCTCCCACCTTCTACATAAGGCAGCCTTGTACGTAGAAGAAGGCCGCTCTAACGGGGATGCTGTCAAATTACAATTGTGTCTCTAGGCTACAGTAGGGTCACTCCTTAGTGAGTACAACACTTTAGGGTTAGGTTTCCCCTACTTGTACTCATCTCTTGCCTAGTTCAATCATTCACTCCTAGTTCTATTCTTGACATGTTATCAGAATAGGAACCGTTCCTACATGGGCCCACCGTTCCGCCTAGTGGTAGCGCCACGCCCTACACAGTAGCCAGCGCGCTGGCGCCCCTAGATCTCACTGTCGCGACCCTTGCAGCCCGTGCGCTGCCCCTGCGACCGCGCTGCCCCTGCAGCCGTGCTCGCCCCTACGACCGTGCTGCCCCTGCAGCCGTGCTCGCCCCTGCTGCCGTGCTGCCCCTGCAGCCGCGCCTGCCCCTGTGGCCCGCGCGCTGCCCCTGCAGCCCGTACGTCGCTCCTACAGCCCGTACGTCGCCCCTGCAGCCCGTTCACGCTGCCCCTGCAGCCGCGCGTCGCCTCTGCAGCCCGTCCGCGCGGCCCCTGCAGCCCGCGCGTCGCCCCTGGAGCCCGCGCGCCGCCTCTGCAGCCCGTCCGCGCGGCCCCTGCAGCCCGCGCGTCGCCCCTGGAGCCCGGGCGCCGCCTCTGCAGCCCGTCCGCGCGGCCCCTGCAGCCCGCGCGTCGCCCCTGGAGCCCGCGCGCCGCCTCTGCGGCCCGTTCGCGCCGCCCCTACAGCTCGCGCGCGGACCTGCTGAGCCGCGCGTCGCCACTGCAGCCCGTACGAGCTGCCCTTGCAGCCCGCGCGGCGCCCCTGGAGCCCGTGCGTCCTGCCCCTGCAGCCCGCGCGCCGCTCTGCCGAGCCGCGCCGCCCAGCCCGAGCCGCGCCGCCCACGCCAACCCGAGCCGCCCTGCTACTACTACTGCTACTGCTGCTGCTCGGTGCCTGTGACATTTCAAAGCGTTCAAGGATGGAGTGGATGTAGAAAGATTGAGAGAGAGAGATGGTGCGCGCAGTACGATCGCGACGAATCTCCATGCCAAGGTAGTGGCGAAGCTCGCCAAGATCCTTGCACAGGAGACGTGCCTGGAGGGCTAGCTTGACAGCGGCAAGGTCGGCAGAATCTTCAGCGAGGAGCACCAAGTCATCGACGTAGGCAAGAATGTAAACCCTGTGGTGGGAAGTGCGAATGAAGAGACTGGGGTCGGAAGAGGAGGTGGAGAAGCCAAGAGAGTGAAGAGTGGAGGCAAGCTTAGCATGCCACTCGCGTGGGGCCTGCTTAAGACCATACACTGGGCGCTTCAGCTCCCAGACAGTGCCTGGAGGGAAGGGGCGAGGAAAGCCAGCGGGGCGCTCAAGGAAAATGCGTTCATGAAGCTCGCCTTGGAGAAAGGCATTGGAGACATCCATAGAGTGAATCTCCCAATTCAAGCGGGCGCCTAGATCAAGAAGGAGGCGAAGAGTGGGGAGACGGGCAGTGGGGGAGTAAGTGGCAAAGTAGCCAATGCCTTCACGTTGGGTGAAGCCTTTGGCGCAGTAACGGGCTTTGAAGACAGGGAGCTCCCCAGGCAGCTGTTTGACACGAAAGACCCATTTGCCCTTCACAATTGTGGCGCCAGGGGGGGGGACAGAGTCAACGTAAGAGTGAGTCCTAGTGAATGCCTCACACTCGGCAATGATGGCAGCCATCCACTCAGTTGCATGAAAGCCAGACACTGCCTTGGAATAGGTCTGAGGGGTGGGAATAGCGGCAGTGTCAACGGAGAGAAGAGTCGGAGAATTGGAGAAGTCGCCAATGGTGACACAGAGGAGGGGTGAAACAGGATGAACAGAGAAAAGCTCCTCAAAGCGATCTTCGAGAAGATCAACGTTCTGAGAGGGAGAGAGACGAGTAAAGAGAGCAGAGTGTTGAAAGTTGGACATTGCACGGGTCATGGAGCGGGTGAGACGGGGAGAGGGTGGGGGGGCAGGTGCAGAAGGGAGGGTAGCAGAAGGAGGTGATGAGGGAGGGGCCATGGGAGCAGAAGATGAAGAGGCAGGAGGAGAGATGCCAGAGATGACAGCGGAGGGGGGAGTGGAGGAGGCAGGCAGGGGAGGTGGAGCAGGGGCAAGAGGAAGTGGAGGAGGAGAGGGAGCAGCAGAGGGCAGCGGATCAAAGTCAGACCAATGGAGAGAGGGAGCAGATGGGGTGGGAGGGGGAGTGAGGAATGGAGATCGAGTCTCATCAAAGATGACATCCTGGCTGCGAATGAGCTGCTGAGAGGAGGGAGCATAGAAAAGGTAGCCAGGACAGTCAGAGTTGATACCAATAAACGCACAAAGCTGCGTCTTGGGAGCGAGCTTCCCACCCTGACGCGCCCGATCAGCGGGATTGATGAGGACATGAGCGACACAGCCCCACACCCGAAGAGGGCGGGCAGAAGGCTGGCGGCCAGTCCAGAGCTGAAAGGGTGTAATGGAAGAGCGAAGGGGATGAGGGCGAATGTTAGAAAGAAGAGTGGCGTGAACAAGAGCGTAGCTCCAAAGAGAGTGGGGAGCAGAAGCATGCGTAAGGAGACTGCGGGTGATCTCCGTGAGAGTGCGAATACGACGCTCGGCAACACCATTTTGTTCAGGAGAATGCGGAAGGATGGAGGTTTGGCGAATGCCATGAGAGGAGCAGTAAGAAGAAAGAGAGTGGTTAAAGAACTCGCCACCACCATCAGAGTGGAGGCGCGCGATCGGGCGGCCAAAGCGAAGACGCGCCTGCTCAGCCCAGCGAATGATGAGGGAGGGGGCGTCAGATTTGGCACGGAGGGGATAGACAGTGGCAAAGCGAGAATGGTCATCGACGAGAAGAAAATAGCGATGACCCTGACGGGAGGCAATGGGAGAGGGACCCCAGAGGTCCATATGCACAAGATCAAGGGGTTTGGGGGAGGCAGAAGGGGAATAAGGATGAGGAGACTGGGAGAGCTTAGCTTGAACACAAGGGGTGCATGGAGGAGCGGGAGAGGGGGGAAGGGGCGGGAGAGAGGAAGGGAGATCATGAAGCAGCTTCGAGTTGACCATGCTGCGAAGGAGAGGGAAGTTGGGGTGGCCAAGGCGATGATGGAGAAGAAGGGTAGGTTGGGTGAGAGAGCGACAGTCGCAAGAGGAGACGGGAGGGACAGAAGAAGAGGAAGTGTGGTGGACAGATGAGGGGAGGGGAACACGAAGGGTGTAGAGGCGAGTAGTAGGAGAAAGGGTGAAACGAGCGAGGTGCCGGTCGTGGTAATGAAGATCACAATAGAGTGCACCTGCGGGGAAGAGCACTCGCACACCGAGGCGTTGAAGGGCAGGAAGGGATAGGAGGTTATGACGGCAAGAGGGAACATAAAGGCCAGTAACAGCGCCAGAGTGAGAGGCAGGACAGGGAAGAGAGGAAGTGCCTGTGCAGATCATGGTCATGGTCTCCCCAGCCCCATCAATAGAGAGGGGACGAGGAAAATTGCGAAGAACACCAGCATCACGAAAGACAGAGTCAGTAGCAGCACTGTCAAGGACAAAATCCAAGGTGCGAGGAAGTGAGAGAGCGGCAGCCGTAGGGCTGGGAGAGTGAGAAGCAGTGCTTTGAATGGGTGGAGAAAATGGAACGAGAAAGCGAGGGTCCATAAGAGGAGAAGCACCAAGGATGCTATCCTGAGATGGCATGATCACACTGAAAACAGAGGCCAGAGAGCCAAAACCAGAGGTTACAGCGGCAGAAGAGCGGCGACGCTGATGGGATAGCGGAATCCAAGAAGAGGGGTGGAGAAGAGGGGAGGTACAACGGCAAGTAGGAAGGGCGGAAGGGGAGGAAGGGGCAGCAAAGGGGGCGGAGAGTAGGGAAGGCAATGGTAGGAGAGGAGGTACGGCGGGAGAAGGGTGAGGACGGAAGCGCAGAGGAAGAGAGGTAAGAGCGAGAAGAGGCCCCATATGGGGGAGGGGATAGCAGTAAAGCAGTGTTGGGGAGAGAAAAGAGGAGGAGGAATAGGGGCGATGTAGTCAGCTGCTGAGCCGTTGAGGGGAGAAATAAGAGGAGGAGGGATAACGACGAAGTAGTCTGCTGTTGCGCCGCTGAGGGGAGACATAAGAGGAGGAGGGAAAACGGTGGGGTAGTCTGCTGCTGCGCCGCTGAGGGGAGAAATACGAGGAGGAGGGATAGGGGCGAAGGAGTCTGCTGCTGCGCCGCTGAGGGGAGAAATACGAGGAGGAGGAAAGGTGTGGAAG